GGATTTTAAAAAGATTCCCAGGTGATTCTAATGTGCAGCCAAGGTTGAGAACCACTGGTCTAGGGCAGTGGTCGGCAAACTGCGGCTCGCGAGCCACATGCAGCTCTTTGGCCCCTTTAGTGTGGCTCTTCCTAAGCCTTAGGAGTACCCTAATTAAGTTAATAACAATGTACCTACCTATATAGTTTAAGTTTAAAAAATTTGGCTCTCAAAATAAATTTCAATCATTATACTGTTGATATTTGGCTCTGTTGACTAATGAGTTTGCCAACCACTGGCTAGCATAAAGGCAGGAGAGTTAGGTGTTGTGTCTCCTTTATGTGCTCTGCCCATACTCCTAAGATGTATGCCTTCTTTTACCCTACCGCTCTCTCACAATAAGAAATGCTGAAGTTATTTTAAAATCTGATCCGCTGCCTCAATCCTGCCCCCTGGTTAGATCTTTCTGCTGGGTTGTTTTGGTTCATTAGGTGGGAGACCACAGTCCTGTCCCCACCAAAACTAAGTGCTTAGGGTTTGGGGCTTTTTCCCGTGATGAGAAGGTACTTCCGTCATGTTGGTTTCTAGTGTACGAAATACTGTCTGCTGTGTTCTGTATTTTTGTATATTTTTACTAACTGTATGGAAAGTTGTCAGTAAAGCCTTTGTCAGAGGATGGATTTTAAAAAAAGATTGCTTCAAGTTCAAAAACCAGATAAGAAATGCCTCTGAGCAGGCTTGTCGGATAAATGGAGCAGGAGTGCAGCTCAGGGGCGGGGCTTCAGGCCACAGACCCCGAAGCGTGGAATCACTAACGTCTGGAGAGGACAACTTCGCTAACCTGACTAGAGTCTTGGCCCCGGGAGGCGTCTGAAGGACCACGGGAGATACAGATGCCGGTGCCGCCGGGTGGGTGGCTGCGCCGGGGCTGGGGTAGGAGTGAGACATGGTAGAGCTGCCGAGAGACAGGTGTGAACTCTCAGCGGAACAGCTGCTGGGGTGGGAGTGTGTCTCACCCCCATGGGCATGGCTGGCGCTGCCCATCTCAGGGGTGACTAGAACACGGCCCTCTGTGGAGGGGCCCAGGCCCTAAAGGCTTTGGGAGGAAGCGGCATCTCCTGCTCGGGTGAGAACACTGGGCTCCGCCTCCTTCCCACACAGCACATCCCAGCCTCCCAGGAGTCCGTGCCCTCCCGCCATCCCCAGCAGACACCAGGCCCCTCACCCAGGCCAGGCTGAGGGAAGTGCTGAGAGAGGGCCTCAGGGGAGTGGCCAGTTGCCCTGGGGACACTTAGGCACCCCAATATCCCTCCTTCCTCCAGAACACCTCACCGCCCACGAGCAATGCCAGCTATGCCCTGCCACCAAGCCAGTGCCTCGCGGAGCTCACGGAGATGCTGCGGCCAGGAGAGCGGTGGTGTGAGGCCTGGCTCACCCCTCTCCTCGCTGCTCAGCCTGCACTTTGCTGCGATGAGGACAACCCGGCTCAGGGGGCCTGGCCGCTGCTTTCTAAAACCCGTTTCTGTGCGCATCTGCATTGAGGGGCCCTCCCTTCCATTCACACAAGTCCGGGCGCTCAGCTTCCTAGCGGTGTGACCCCAGAGAAATTCCTCACCTTCTGAGTCTGTTTCCTCTTCACAGATTAGCATGACGAATCGCAGGTTGTATAGGAAAGGGCCTGGCGTGTAGTGGGTGTGCAAGGATGTCCATCCCCTCACACCTTCCCAGGGGCCACGAGCTCTGTGAGCTGGTGCCTGCCCCAGGGCATTCACGTTTAAGGGGGGGATAAGTTCTTTTTTTTATTTAGTATTTTTATTGATTTCAGAGAGGAAGAGAGAAGGAGAGAGAGAGAATCATCAATGATGAAAGAATCATTGACCTGCACACCCTCGACTGGGGATCGAGCCTGCAACCCGGGCATGTGGCGTGACCGGGAATCAAACTGTGACCTCCTGGTTCATAGGTCAGCGCTCAACCCCTGAGCCACGCTGGCCAGGTTGGGCGGGAAATGAGTTCTTAAAACAGTGGCAATGGGACCAGCCCTCCTTGTTTTCAGGTGTCATAGGTGGAGGGCGAGGGCGAGGGCATGGCCAGGATGACTGCAGCTGCTGGAAGCTGCATTTGCCTCTTTACCTTGACCCCTCGTCCATAGAAGGGGCGGCCACACCAGCCTGCCCGCCTCACAGGGTGCCGCGGGCTGAGGGGGCTGAGCACCGGTAATGGGTGTGGAGGAATGTGAAGCCACTGCAATGTGGATGTCGGGACAGGAAGGGGCATCTGGCAGCTCCCCAGAGAGGGGAGGGAGCAGCCTCGGAGGGGAGAGGTAAGGAGGCACCCCCTGGGCCTGGGGCAGCCAGCCGGCTTCACCACAGCTGGCTTTCCGCAGGGAGGTCAGAAGGTCAGAGCAGGCCGGCCAGGGCACTAAAGCTCTAACCAGACTCCCTCCTGGTGGCCAACATGAACTTGGAATATCACAGACTCAACTGAGCACAGTAAGGACAGGGTAGGGGGCGGCATGAATTCTGAATGACCCCCTCCTGCTGCCTAAGCACCAACCAGATGCCAGTCCACGGGGCGTCACTCAGCCAAGGGCAGTGAGGGCTGCCCCAGGCTCCACCTTCTGTTTAAAACGCAGACACATTGGAGAGGGAGGATGTGAGGGTTTAAAAAACTGGTACTGTTTTCACTACCCCCAGGGGGCGATCTACACCAGGTGGCCTGGCCCTGCAGAGACACGGGAGCCCAAGTACCCAACCTGGTCTGCCCCCACCCCTCCCCCGCCCACCTCTCCTGTCCCTGGGCCCAAGGACACGCTGTTCCCGCTGAGCCCTGCCAGGGCTGCTTTAACTCCACAATCCGCCCTAATCCTCCTCCACACCACCCCGCCAGCTGCTCCCTCCCCGCCCTGGCGTTCTGCCTTCAGCCTCAGCCCTGCCTGTAGCCTGCCCTGCCCAGGCCACGCTCTCCAGTCCCCAGGAAGAGCTAGGGGTGGCCCAGGCCTCCAGATCAGTCGCCAGGCCAGGCACCTGCTGTTCAGAGGCAGAGCAGGACCCGAGGCGGGGATCCTGGCCTGGCCTGTCTCCCCTGCACCCGTGCCCTCTGCCCTGGGCCCTAAAGCACTTGGGCCCTGGTGTCCTAGGTCCTGTTTGCCCCGGGGGCTGCTGACTCATCTCTTGAAGCTCCGGGTCCCAGCTGTTCGGTGGCAGGCAGATTATATAAGCTGAGGGCATGTGACGTGTCTCTCTCGTGGGACT